TTAGTTGAGGACGCTGTTAGAAATGGCTTGACCAAATTGAATTTTCATCATTGTCGGGTACCAATACGCCTTTCGATAGAGCATCACCGGCAAGTTTGCATGTCTTCATACACATCAAGATGATAATGATTCACCACGTTAATTGCTTTGCGTTTGCGGCATTTGATATTGGCATATTTCGCGAGAGTTGCAGCTCTTATTACTGTGTCCCAAACGCCCGGACGGTTTCGTAGAAATACATCACTCAACGATGAGTCGAAAGACAGTGAAGAACTCTAGTCATTCTCTAAGTCAACCAATTGATGTCTACAAATGCAGACGTCCTCCCAAACGTTTGAATCAAGTCACCGAAGATGTGCATTTTTTTGCTTGATCGAATGAACGTCGAAAAACTTGTAGTCTTATTTGTACAGTCAGAAGCCGCAGCTTCCCTCCTACACACCACCCCACCGGCACCCACTGTTAGTGCCGCGCTGGGACCTTCACATTAACACTAACACCACCCAATCTACCCCCCACACCAGAACCCTCGCCCGCGATGGCCTCACAGCCAGCCGCGGGCCTCTCGCAGGCCCCTAGGGGCCTTTCAGCCTCTATGCATAGCCTCCCCCAGACCCCTCCTCCCCCTACCTCCTTACCTCCACGACCGAGGGGCCTCACGCCCCCCCCTATCCGGCCCTTGGGAAGGGGGCCACGATCCGCCGCCGCCGCCCTCCAGCAAGCCCGAGAGGGCCGGGCCCTCCGAGATGAGGCCCTAGACCTCCTCGCTAAAGGACTAGATGCCCTCATTGGGACAGCCCCAGCGCGACTGAAGGCTACAGCCCAGGACCTCATCGATACCTTTACCCGGTTTGCAACCGCAGAAACCTCTGGACCCACCCCTGGCCCCGGCACTGGAAAAACGTATGCCCAGGCAGCTGGTGGCCCCACGGCAAGCAGCCCCGGCCCCGGCCCCGGCCCTGGGTCGAACCGAACAACAGGCCGGCGGGCTATAAGCTCTATAAACCAGCCAAAACAGACCCAGGACCTCCGCCTACTAGTTCGGCTCCCTGCAGAACATATCCCTGCCTCCAGAACCCTAGCCCCCCACTCAGTTAAGATGGTAGTAACAAAGGAGCTCAACCTACAGCCGCAAGACCTAGTTGAGGTCCGTCACACTGCTACAGGCTTCTCACTCCAGCCCCAAAACAAGGAGATCCAGGCCCTACTTCTACAGAGAGCCCCTGAGATCAAAAGCTGTCTCACAGCTGAGAAGGTTGAGGTGCCTACTAAGTGGCATCAGTACATCGTCCCATTCTGCCCCCTCTACTTTACTAGCCTTGACGGCAGTAGGGTTAGTATGGAATCTGAAATAGAGGAAGAGGTCTTCCTAAAGACAAAACAAAGACTCCTCTCCTGGCGCCCAACCCAGGGCAGCCCTGATCTAGCTACAGCTACACAAAGTCTGATTATCGCCCTCCCTCAAGAGGTTAAGGAAGGCTTCCGCCTGTTTGGACAGTCAGGCCCTGCCCGTCTGCTCCCCCCGAGGAAGAATATCCCCAAACGACACTCCCCTGGTTGCCAGGGCTTTCACTCAAACCGCTACTGCACCCGGAAACCCCTCTGCAAGAACTGCAGCAGATCCTTAGATACTCATGAGGCTGGGGTCTGCTTAGCTAGGGCTAAGTGTGCTAACTGTCATGGGCCCTATCCAGCAAGCCACGCAGACTGCCCAGCTAGGCCTCTACTGATTAATGGAAACCTGACTATCCCAACCCGGAAGGAACGGCGAGGGATCCAGAAGGTTGGAGAGAAGGCGTTCGACGATCTCATAGCAAGCCAGGCCTGCTCCCCAGGCAGAACGCAGCAAGCTGAGGATAGGCCAAGCACACAGGGGCAACAGCCAACAACTAAGCGCCCTCAACCCCTCACGCCCACACAAGACTCAATTATTGTTGCAGATACTGCTAGTGTAGCTAGGAGCAGTAACATGGATGAAGATGAGGCTGAAGACGCTGAAGCCCTCCCCCCAACTAACCGCCCTATCTGCCCCCTCCCAAGCAGCAGCAGGAGCCAGAGGGTAGCACAGAAGCCTGACTATAACGTTATTAATGCCTACACACACCTCGACCTCGACTCAGAGCAGTAGGCTTAGAATGGCTACCCCACAGGTACTACGGGTCGCCCAGTGTAACGTGGGGAAGAGAAGCCCAGCTCATACAGCTCTTCTAGAGCTCTGCTGGGCAGATCAGATCGATATAGTCCTGATCCAGGAACCCTGGGTAGGCTATAGAGATAAGATGCAGATTAACACACACCCAGGCTTTAACTCCTACGTACCAGTTGACTTCTGGAACAGCAGAGACACAAGGCCTAGGGTTATGACCTACACATGCAAAGGTCTACGGCTGCAAATACAGCAACAAAGACCTACCCAATCAAGAGATATCCTATGGGTGGAAGCTGGCGACTTTACTATTATTAATATATATAGGCCGCCAGGTGAGCCTATAAACCACACAACTACTGCTCTACTGGGTTATCAACCACCAGAGAGAGCATTTATTGCTGGGGATCTGAATGCCCGCCACTCCTCTTGGGAGCCTGGGACCCCTAGCTGGAACCGGGGCGACGATATTGCAGAGTGGGCTGAAGTCCACACTCTGTCGTTTATTGGAGAAGCTGGGGCCCCTACCCATACTCATGGGCATACCCTCGACCTAACCTTCTCAAATATCCCCTATGCTGAAGCCTATGTCAGCCCACACCTACACCCAGGGGCTGATCACCAAGCCACCACGTCAATTTTACCTATAGGTAAGCCCCAGGAACAGAGACATCAGACTAGCCACTTCTTTATCTCAGACTCAGCCCTGCTTCGGCTTGCCGACTTGGTAAAGGTGGGGATCCCAGCCCTACCTACCTTAGGGGATGTACCTACTCCGGCGGAAATAGACACCCTAGCTACCCAACTAGTCAGCCTCCTCTCTACAGCTATTCAAGCTGTAGGCAAGAGACAGTCTAATCAGGGTAGGGGAGCCCCCTGGTGGACAGAAGAGTGCTCAGAAGCCCATCGAGCTGCTATTAAGGCTAGGCGCCAACAGGCCCAAGAACCTGGGCTGGTTATACCTCCCCCGACTCTAGAGGAGCAAAAGGTCTTCCTAACAACTGTGAGAAGGGCGAAACGCACCTACTGGACTGCTAAGATCGAAGAGGCTAAGACAGACCAAGACCTATATAAAATTATAGGCTGGCGGAAGTCTAGCCTAGCAGTCAAAGCTCCGCCTCTGATAGTGGAAGGGCAGACGATCAGCAATACCTACGATAAAGCCCAAGCCCTGCAGAAGGCTCTACTAGAGCGATTTAGTGCTACAGATGACCTACCTGGGAACCCTTTTGCTACCCCAGTGGTTATAAGTCGTATTATACCCTGGCAGAATACAGTTAGCATAGAGGAAGTACGCCAGGCTACTCTGACGAAAACTACAACCCCTGGGACTGATAGGATTACTACAAAGTTGCTATAATGCACCTGGGGATTAGTAGCTAAGCCTATACATCAGCTCTTCCAGGCCTGCGTTCAAGTAGGCTATTTTCCTAGACCCTTCCGTAATGCGGAAATTGTTATGATCCAGAAGCCAGGGAAAACAGACTTCTCTAAGACTGGGTCTTGGCGCCCAATATCTCTGTTGTCCTGCTTAGGCAAAGGCTTAGAGCGGCTGATAGCAAAGAGGATGGCCTACCTTACTATCCTAGAAGGGGTTGCCAGCCCACAACAGGTTGGAGCCCTACCAGGGAGGGCAGCAGTTGACCTGACCACCTGTCTAACCCATGAGATCGAGAGGGCTCTAGATACAGGGCTCACTGCTACGCTGGCAACAATGGACGTTAAGGGGGCGTTTGACTCCGTTCTACGAAACCGACTTGTTATTAGGCTACGACAGCAGGGCTGGCCTAGTAGCCTGATCAGACTGATCTTCACCTTCACCTCTAGCCGAACAGCTCGGGTCAGGCTAGAGGATACCACTACAGAGGACTTCCCTCTATCATGTGGGCTACCGCAAGGTTCTCCGCTATCACCTATCCTCTTCCTGCTCTATATAGCTGATATCCTAGCTGATGATCAGAAGCTACGGTTTGGCTATGCAGATGATATCAGCCTAATAGCTACCAGCCCTTCGCTAGAAGAGAATGCTACAGCCCTAGGCCAGGAGATCACTAGTATCCTCAACTGGGGTACTGACAATAAGGTTGCATTCGACCCAGCTAAATGCGAAGCAATACACTTTAGCAGGAAACATAACCAGTCAAGAGACCTACCAGATATACAGGCAGGAGAACTAACTATTAAGGCCTCAACTAAGCCTATACGATGGCTAGGGGTCTGGTTTGATAAGAGACTCACCTTCCAATACCATGTGGAAACAAAGGTAGCAGCAGCAAAGAAGGTAGCCCAGTTCCTATGGCACCTTACAAACACTAAAGGGGGGCTCCCAGCAGCTGCAGTCCGGAAAGCAGCTATTGCTTGCATCCTCCCAATAGCCCTATATGGAGCAGAGACCTGGTATGCAGGCCTGACCAGGCCAGCCTTAAACAGCAGCATCAATACCAGCAGTAGCACTGCTTTACAGATAGCTACAGTTGGTACAGGACAGAAGGGCCTAGCCTGCAGAGTTAGAAAGGTTATCACAGCAGCAGCAAGGGCTATCCTACCTGTCTGGAGGACCACACCAACAAGCAGCCTCATCCGAGATGCTGGCCTACCTACAGCAGAGGTAGCCCTTGAGGCGGCGCGACTACGCTTTGCTACACGCCTACAGAAGGTTGACCAACAGCATCCCCTAGTCCCAAGACTCCTACAGCCAGGGCGACAGCAAACCAGGCTTCAAAGAACAGCTGGCCTCTTACCTAAGTGCCCAAGGCCAGCACTCCTAGAGCCGCATTACCCCTCAGGGTCTTACAGCCCTATAGTCACACAGACGAAGGAAGTAGCAGCTAGGATCTTCCAGGCCTGGCTGAAGATGGTGCCAAAAGAGCATACCATTATCTACTCAGATGGCTCTAAAGCCCCTGATGGTGCTACAGGCTTTGGCTTCGTTATCTACCGCAAGAACAAACGTATAGCCCAGGGCTGCGGCCGCCTCGGCCTAGCAGAAGTATTTGATGGTGAGGCTGAAGGGGCGAGGGCAGGGCTCCGACAGGCCCTCCTTACCTCCCAGGGCCAGCCTATACACATCTGTATCGATAATACCAGTGTTATCCAAGGGATCCGAGGCATAGCCCCAAACTCCTCACAAGCTGCCTTCCTTGAGATCCAAGAGGCAGCTAGGATATACGACATACAAATCCACTGGTCCCCAGGGCATCAAGGCATTAGAGGAAACGAGGAAGCAGACAGCTTAGCTAAAGAGGGTACAACCCTGCCAGTCCCTAGGGGCCAACTGGCTACCCTATCAGGGATCAAACGGCTTGCTAAAGAGCGCATACGACGCCAATATAGGAAGTGGTGGAAGCGAGAGGCAACACCCCGTTATACCCAACTAGGGCTCAAGGCTACCCTCGCTTGCCCTCCTGAACTAGCCCTGCCACGGGCTATACTACATCATCTCCTAGCGGCTCGATCAGGCCATGGAGACTTCGAACAATACCACCAACGCTTCAACCATACAGAAGCACTGCTTACCTGCTCCTGCGGGGAGGCAAAGGAGGTAGACCATCTAGTCTACTGCCAAAAGACCCTTGTGAGGAGGCTTCAGTGGCCTACCCTCCACCCTTCTAGTCCACATGAACCTATAGGTCCTATAGGATCTCTTGAGCGGTACTATAAGGGGTTAATCACTGATCCTGAAGGCTTCCAGGCCTTTCTCTCCGTGACAGACTTCTTCCAGAAGATCTGCCCGCGGTACTAGGGCCTAGGTTAAGACCTAGTCCCTAGTAACGACCCCCTCCTCGTAGAGGACCTGATAATCACAACGGAACTAGGGAACCAGCGGGAACTAGGGACGGATAGAACACATAGTGGCCTTCGGGCAAGACTTGGAGGACGTTAGGAAGAGGCGTGTACTATAGAGTATGTTGCTAGAGCCTGCGGCCCTCCACGCCATATACCCCTCGGGAGGTCGGCCGCAAGGGCGGCTGCGCCCTTTGCCGCCACGGCGTTAAATATAACAACAACAACAACAACAACAACAGTCAGAAGCCGTAGATCTCCCCCGAAGTTACAGAGCCTGGAATCGATAAAGACTCAACATTCTGGGCTTGCCATGATGACCACGCACATCTTTCGTGGCACAACTCAGTATCAGAAATGTGAGGCGGGCAATCGCTGAATGTCTCTAATTTTGGTCTGGTCTGATGTCTCATGTTAACTGCCAATCATTGTGGCGATCATAGTTCTACACTTCCATTCTTTGCATAGTTGTTCAAAAATTAGCATCTGCGACACCGAAAAACAATTGTAGATTATCGCAAGACATCGAGTCTGGAGGCTGAGGAAGCCCCCTTTGCTCCGTTTCCCATCACGGACTTCCGGCGGATGACTGTCGGTGAGATTCCTCCGCTGCCTGCACCGCTCAGGACAGGAGGCCCAAGGGTTTGCATTTTCTGCAAATGCAGTCTGAAATTGGAGGATCGATCTCGTTTTAAACGCAGGCTCGGACGCATTTGTCACATGTCATCGTCATTAATCCTTGATCAAGTTGCCCGTCAGACGAACGTTTTCTTCTGCCCACCCGCCAAGCAAATCATTCCCCTAATTCAACTTCATTCGTCAAAGGAAAAGAAATCGTCGCCACCTCATATATCGTAGGAAAACACCAGATATGGTCATCACGACAGGAAGAAACTTCTCGCGCATGCCCTTGGGCTACGGCCCTTGCCCAGGACCCCGGCAAGACGCTAAGGGCAACCAACCGCTCCTAGGTTGGGATCAGGTCAACACCAAAACCTGCACCGTTACTTTCAAAGCCCCGGTCGACCAGTTGGTCGCCCTACTTCCCCGACCATGCTTCCAAATCGACGCGGAGAACGTGGTGGAGGGTCTTGCGGAAGCGTCCATCTCCTTTACCTCTCTCGGCAACCTTCCCTGGCTGGCTGGCCGCGGATACAACCACTCCGGCCTTTACATTCACAATGTCATCTGCCAGGGCAAGACCGAAACCGTTCAGGGCAAATATCTCAGCGTCCTGTTTGAGAACCTCCCGGACCCCATCCTCAGCGGCAGAGAGGAGCTGGGCTACCCGAAGCTCTTCGCGACACTGGATCAGGACGACAACGTTGAAGCCTCAGGAGACTGGAGCCTTTCGATGGGCTGGGAAGGCAATCAATTTGGAGAGGTCAAGATCTCCGGTCTGAAGCTGGAGGTGGCGCCTCCTGAGCCCGCAAGACCCGGCCAGGATGTTCTTTGCTTCAAGTACATCCCTCGCACCGGCCGCCCGGGTGTCGCTGATGTCGAGTACGCCACGGTCTCCCCGGCCCCGTCTCCTGAGTGCTTCAAGTTGGAGCGCATGTTCAAGGCGAAGGACGCGAAGATCCACTTTGAGGCCCTCGGTTTCGATGAGTTGCCCACACTGCATCACGTGGCCGCTCGATTGGCCGAGCTCGACATCGTCAGCGTTGAAGATGTACGCATTGTGGAAGGAAAGGGTGCACCCGATTATCAGAACCAAAGAGCAGTTTCGACTTGGGGTTACGGCTTGTCGACCAACTGAGTGGCTACTTGATACCCATGCCGATAAGTCTCTGTTAAGCTCTATTATCCCTAGATTGATTTCAATTCATAATTTGCGTCTGAATGGTTTCCACTGATACATTAAGTCAAAAATGAGATCCTTCTGGCTCTCGAGGGAATGCAATGCTGGCAGACTGTGACTGAAACTGGAATAGTCTTGACCGCATATGCCAAAGATCGACCATTTTAGCAAGCAAAGTGTTGAATTCCACCAGTCGCAGCCTCCAAATCTTATTTGTCATCGGGTCGTCAATACGAGAAAAGGGTTCTCGAGGACATGCAGGTATCCTGCCGGGCCACAGAAACGCTTTCCTATTCAAGACATCAAGTTTAGGGTTTGCAAAAGAAAGTCACAACTCCTGATGAGCTGGTGCGCTGCAGCGTTCCAATCCTTCGTGCTGATCCTGCTTTTATGGAGGTGGCTGTGAACAAACCAATCCGCTGCCTGATCCTCAAATTCTAGTCTCATCACACCCCCAATCATGAAAAAGGAGGTCGATGGACAGCCTTGTGAAGGGGGCGCTCGTGATGGGGGCTAAGTTGCTTGAGACGAGTGTCATTTATTATTGCTAGGATCATACATCACAAACAGAAATAGCACAAGTAGGCTCGGCATTTTGTTAAATTCAAGACTTCCAAGCCTGCATGGCCATCATCGAATTCTCTGCGGCTCCCGGGAACAAGGTTTCGGAGGGAGATTGAAATCCGGGACCCCACTGCCCTTCTAATACCTTGTCTGTAATAGCGTAGGTGATTCTCCCAAGGAAAGATGGGAAACGGCTAAACTGCGGGTAGTTCTGGACACGAACTTCAAAGGAAGACCAATAAGATATGAATCTCTCGACTACCCCCAATCCTTTGGGTCCTCCGCCATGTCCGGTTCCATTGAATTGTGCGTTGGATCTTGTACTCAATTTGGTAGAATCCACCTTTTCCAGCCAATAGAACAACAGCTTTCCTACAGCCAAACAGAGAGCCAATCAAGAAAACACACGACTTCCAAGACAACCAGGACATGTTCCGGCGAGCCAACATGCACTGCCCGGCTGAAAATTCGTCGAAATATCCAGGGAAACGGCAGGGGCTGGAACTTGTCCCGGAAGATAGCCGCTTACCCCTATCCATCGCATCGCGTGCTGGGAGAGCCTGAGACGCGTCAGTCAACCGTTTCCCCACAACTAGTCCACAGCTTCTGCCACTGACGATCTAATTCTGGGCGATGGAATGGGGCCGGATCGTCATCGCAAGGAAGATCACCCCACCACCCGGGGGGCCAACGACGCTAAGTCCGAGCGGACCGGAAGTTTTCTGTCTTGTGCCTCGCGGCCCTTCAAAAGGCGCACGTAATCTGCAGTCACAAATCCACGAGTTCGCAGCTTCGTCCGCACGTTTGATCATCGTTCCAATCCGGGGAAAGGCGACGGATCTAGTTGCCGAGTGATACGGATACTCGGTGCATAACTTCTGGAGAACATCTTTCCACTTGGTGTTGGGCGGTAACCAGGCAGTGGATTCACGATATGGAGGGAACCCACGGGCAAATCCACTTGCATTGTTGCGCCATAAACATGAACAAAGTCTGCAGCAGGCACATAAGGCTGGGGTGCCATTGGGCGACTCCCGGAACTTGAGATCTTCCCTCAAGATTGAAGATGCAAATTTCAGACAGGAGTGAAAAATATGCTCGGCTTGTTTTGAAAAAGTTGGATCCGATATTCATTGTTTGTCATCCAGTTGCATGTTGAAGTTGTGGGTTGCAAACGTCAGCGGTGGAGAGGTCGAAATTGGACCCGCGTTTGCACAGCCCCTTGAAGCTCCCTTTTAACTCGAGCGACCCTTCTGCCCATCTTGGCGGTCCTGGCGGCCTTTTTTGAGCCCAGTCGTCGTCGATGCCAAGGTACCAAGCGATCGCGACATCGATTCAAGCCTTTGCTCAACCGAACTCACTTTAGTTTTCGCCTTGGCATCCTGGGCACAAGCCAGCCAACACAGTCAAGATGAAGCCGACAACATTATCGACATTGACGGCGGGTCTGGGTTTGGCGACAGCGGTAAATGCCATCGACGTAACATTCACCGACGATGGTGAGTTCTCCGTGAGGGAAATTCTATTGAGAAGAAATGGTTGCTGACTTCCTACAGATTCAATCAAGAGCGCCGCGGGCACAATTGCGTATGGATTGGTGAAATATTACACAGGAAATAACACTGGCGACACACCAGGAAATCTGCCAGATCCTTACTACTGTAAGATTTTATGACTGTTGAAGTTATTTCAAAGCTGATTGTAATGCGTTCTAGGGTGGGAGGCTGGTGCCATGTTTGGCACGCTGGTTGATTATTGGTGGCTCACAGGCGACGACTCCTACAACACGATCACGACACAAGCTTTGCTGCATCAAGTCGGTGACGATAATGATTATATGCCCCAAAACCAAACTTTGACAGAAGGAAATGACGATCAGGGCTTCTGGGCGATGGCTGCCATGTCAGCAGCGGAACACAAGTACCCGAATCCCCCAGACGGCGAACCACAATGGCTTGCACTAGTACAAGCAGTCTTCAACGAATACGTCAGTCGATGGGACACAGGAAACTGCGGCGGTGGCGTGCGATGGCAGATTTTCACGTGGAACGCCGGATACGATTACAAGAACTCGATTTCGAACGGATGCTTCTTCAACGTGGCCGCCCGCCTGGCTCGCTACACCGGCAACACCACCTACTCCGATTGGGCCGAGAAGGTCTGGGATTGGGAAACAAGCGTCGGTTTGATTACGAGCAACCACGAGATTCTCGACGGTGTTCATTTCGAGGGATCATGTCCCAGCTCCACCGATAGCACGAAGTGGTCCTACAACGCCGGCATCTTCCTGTACGGCGCGGCCGTCATGTACAACATCACGGAAAGCGACACGTGGAAGACGCGCGTTGACGAGATGCTCACCGACATCACGACCGCGTTCGTCCAGAACAACATTCTCTACGAAGCGTACTGCGAACCAACGGCGCAGTGCAGTCAAGATGCACAGAGTTTCAAGGGATATCTCAGCAGATGGATGGCCGCCACGATGCAGGTGGCTTCATACACCACCGACACCATTCAACCTCTGCTGCTGTCCAGTGCACAGGCGGCAGCTACGGCATGTTCGGGATCTCCGGCTTCGGGCTTTAAGGGTC